ATCTGGACCACCCTTGCCTCCCGCACCTACAAGGAGAAGACTGGTTTAAGCTTGAAGAAGGCGAAGCTACAAGAAACTACGAACCGGCAGACCACACCACCCAATCGATATCCTTCATCATCCTAGCCGCTACTTCATCATCAGCGTCCTCAACAGAAGCTACCACAGGCTCCACAAGCTGGATGTTATGAGAGGGGGCGAGAGCTCGGATATCGGCGATATGCTCTGCATTTCGTACGACTGACACGACATGATGGTTCTGAGCAGCAAGAAGCTTTGTGATGCGCAGAGCAACCTTTCCGTGTCCTCCCAGTAGAAGTACCTTCGCCATCGCGTGTGGTGATGAGAGTTCTCGTTCAAGATTCGACGTCGTCATCCGTCACATGTGAGATGCCTATGGTGCAATCGCCGTACCGCAAACAAAGTAGCTTTCTCCCACCTCTTCTGAGTCTCTCCAGATGGATGAATGGGCATTGCTTTCCTCCTAGGCCTATGCGGCTTTGTACAAGGAACAGGATGCGTGCTCGCCTGACTTTCGTCTCAGGTCTCGGGTTGATATGACATGGGCTTTTGCAACAGGAGCTTGAAGAGCGGTAGACGCTGAGCCTGGCATCCCCATCACATTGATAGCTTGAGCCTCTTATACGTGCCGTTTGATTGCGACATCATATCAAGCAAGTGAGCAAAGTGGGAGCGCGGGTGTGAGAATGTGGGATGTTTTCGAGTTGGTCGCGGTGATTGCTTACATATGGACTCACAACCTTGCTCTTCGCACCCAATCACGCCTTAAATCGTTACCCTTGAATTATTCTAGCAGATATCTCATCAACCTCACTCAAACCGGCTAGCTTCTCAAACGACCCACGCAGACTACCGCGATCTCGAGTCTCAATGCTAAATTGGAACAAGCTGTGCTCAGAGACTCACAAGATGAAGAGCCACGAGGCACTCCGGTCGATAGGAACCTCCATTCTTGCGTCAAACGTACTTATATCGAGTGGGTATTATCATTGTTCAGATAAATCACGTTGACGAATGGCATTTAGGTGGATGGCTCGGCTGCATGAATACGTGAGAGGAGGAAAGAACCGAGATAAATCCCGTTCTATATAAAAACCTACTCACAACGTTCTCTTATCACTCTCCCCACAATGCCCACGTACCGACGACTTCAACAGTACGCTCTCGGTATCAGCATAATCAGCATCGTCTATTGTGCAGCCGAAGGCGCGGTGTCGATTGGACTAGGAGCTGAATCGTCGTCACGGTCACTCGTGTTCTTTGGTATCCAGTCTGGTATCGAAGTACTATCAGCGACGACGGTGGTATGGCGGTTCTGGCATGTAGCCAAACCGGGAGAAGAAAGGGGTGCAGTTCTTTCTGCAAGGGACTTGAAGTATGTCGTCAACTTTACATCAGGAGCAGTACTAACAAAGGGTATGAGTAGGTTCGAGAGGATTTCGTCGACCGTGATAGCATGCCTCCTTCTCGCGCTGGCCCTAGCCACCGAAGGCACCGCGATATTTGGCCTAGTACAACACGAGGAACCCAGCACATCTAACGCCTCATTGATCGTCTCTGCTTCCGCATTGGTGCTGATGATACTGGTTTGGTTACCTAAGGGCTACCTAGCAAGGAAACTCAACAGCAGCGCGATGCAAGGGGAAACACAATGCTCGCTGTCATGCATTCAGATGACGATAGTTTTGTTTGTTGGAGCGCTCGTTTACAAGCTGTGGAAAGGTGGCTGGTGGGTCGACAGTGCTACGTCGTTAATACTTGGTTTACTTTTTGGATGGGAAGGGTGGAAGATGTGGAGGTGGGCCAGAAGCCCAGACTTCGATGGAGGATGCTGTGGGGCTCATCATTCTCATGAAAAGGACGTTGAAGCCACGGCTGGTACGGTCACTGCGGAGAGGTCTGACGAGAAGAAGAAGGACTCCTGTGAGTGTTCCTCGCAGTGTGACTCGTGCAAGACTGCGGTCGAAGGTAAACTGCCTACCTCCGACGCTTCTTCAGCGCTGGTATTTGAGCCCACTCTCCACCTGATCGATCTACTGCTGATGTTTACTTTCTGCCAGAGCGCCCCCATCGACGACACCGCCAAGAAGTGCTGCGGCCACGAATGTCGCGCCTCAACAACTCCACCGAAGGACATTACCAGTCACGGTGGTGGAAATGTAGCTAATGAGTCTCAATAACCCGGATGCCCCCCTTAGAGAAAGCTGGGGCACCGATATGCAGGTCAAAGACATTCTCCCGCGTAGCCCACGGTAGGGCTCTAGTTTTATGGTTGCGCAAGGAACACGATTCATGATATTCGCGATGACTCACTGAACCTCATTGAAGCCTGTCTGTAGAGTTGCACTCGCAAGCTCCGGCTTCGTGATCATGCAAATGCGAGCTCCGTACCGCCTGTGATCACATAATCCCGCCACCCAAGCGAGTTGTTCCGACCGTTGGTGAGCTGAATCTTGGAGGACTCAGAACACCATATGTACGAGGGTTCTGTTAGCGTTGTCGGGGATGGACGAGGTCAGTCTCCCCGGTGTCGTTTGCGAAATTCTGCTACCGTCAGTTCCCCCCAGGGACTCCAACGAAATATCAGAATTTGGAAGAGGAATAGATACTGAACTTCGTCAAATGGGGAGCTCGTAAATGGAGATTTCCAGGTGACAGGCGGCAGGCCTGAGTGCGAGTGGGAACGCGAGATATTTTTAGCCGTCGTGAATTCACAGCTTTGCTCTTCGCACTAACCACCCAAACCCTAGCAACTTTGAGCTACCTACTAGCTTCTCAAGTCAAGCCGTGAACGGAGCCTCAAATATTAATGTTCTGATCCTCACCTCTAATTCGGAACATACCGACCGTCGGAGTTGAAATTCTGAAATGCCGGATCCTTCATAACACGAAGTTCCCGGCGACGCCAATCTCCAAAGTTCTTACACCAAACTTCGTTGAATTCGACTGGGTCTTATCTTTGCTCAGATGACCCACGTCGAATAATGGCTTTTCTGGTGGCTTTATCATATCAAAGAACATTATATGAACAGAAAAGAACCGAGGTCATACTACCTGCCACCTGGTCCATAAAAACCTGAACAGCGGGACGTTCTTCTATCGCCTTCCCCCCGCAATGCCTTCTTATCGACGACTTCAACAATATGCTGTCGGTATCAGTATCATCAGCATCGTCTATAATGCAGCTGAGGGCGCAGTGTCGATCGGACTTGGAGCTGAATCGTCGTCGCGTTCACTCATATTCTTCGGTATCCAGTCAGGAATCGAAGTTCTATCGGCGATCATGGTAGTCTGGCGCTTCAGGAATGTAGCTAAGCCAGGAGAAGAGAGGGCTGCAGTTCTTTCTCCGAGGGACCTGAAGTAAGCCGCTCTTCGATCATGCCCTAGTAGTATTAACGATACATGGACAGGTTCGAACGAATCTCATCGAGTGTAATAGCATGCCTCCTTATTGCACTGGCGTTAGCGACCGAAGGTACCGCGATATCTGGCCTAGTACAGCATGAGGAGCCTAGCGCGTCAAACGCCTCATTGATCGTGTCAGCTTCCGCATTGGTATTGATGATACTGGTTTGGTTGCCTAAGGGCTATCTAGCGAAGGCACTCGACAGTAGCGCTATGCAAGGGGAAACCCAATGCTCGCTGTCGTGCATCCAGATCACGATAGTCTTGTTCTCTGGATCACTCATATATAGGCTATGGAAAGGCGGCTGGTGGGTCGATAGCGCTACGTCCTTGGTACTTGGCTTGCTATTTGGGTGGGAGGGGTTGAAGATGTGGAGATGGGCTAGAAGTCCAGACTTCGACGGAGGATGTTGTGGAGATTACCGTTGCCGCCAAAAGGACGTTGAAGCTACGGCTGGTAAGGGAGATGTCGCTGAGAAAACGGATTCTTGCGGATGTTGCTCCAAGCCTGAGCCTGTGGACGCAAGCAAAACGCCGACTTCTGCTACTTCCTCGACAGTGGTATTGAAACTTGCTCTCTGCCTATTCTATTTCTTGCTGATTTCTGCTTTCCGCTAGAGCTGCTGTGCCCCGGTTAACGATGGCAAGAAGCGGAGTTGCAGCCAAGGATGTTGCGCTCCGACAACTCCAGTGAAGCCCTCCGGAGAATGCTGCGAAGATTGTCGTTCCCGCGAAGAGGACGTATCTACGGCTGACAATGGTGGGTCCGCTGCGGAGAGACTCGCAGATAAACAGAGGAGGGACTCTTGCGGATGTTGCTCTCAGCCTGAGTCATGCAGGTCTGCGGACGAAAGTAAATTACCCACTTCTGATGTTTCCTTGACTCCGGTATTCGAGCCCACCCTCCCCCCGATCGATCCTTTGCTGATCCTTGCTTTCCGCTAGAGCTGTTGCGCTCCAATCGACGATGTCGGGAAGAAGGGTTGTGGTCGGGGTCGGGGAACAACTCCGGTGCCAGCGGAATCCTACGGAGGATGCTGCGGGGATGCTAACCGTTCCTGCGACGAAAAGGGCGTTGAAGATATGGATTGCAAGGGTGACGCAGTTGCGGAGACTTCGAGGCCCGCCGAAAAGAAGACAAGTTTATGCGAGTGCTGCCCCACGCCTGAGTCTGAGTTCAGGTCTGCGGACAAAAGTAAAATCCCCGATACTTCTTCGACAATGGTATGTGGGTCTACTCTCTGGCCACTGTGATGGATCCGTTGCTGATGTTTTCTTTCCGCCAGAGCTGCTGCGTGTTCCCTGACAACAATAGCAAGAAGTGTTGTGGCCAAGAACGTTGCGTCCCTTAAACGACCCGAGGCAGGGGTCTCTGTAGTAAAGGAGATTGAAATTGAGATGCTAGTTTGTGTTTTTGGAAAGATCAGTTAGTAAGATAACACTACAAGCACTTCTGTACAGGCAGCTATCTGGTTCGAGGTGGGACCGCCTTTCTCTGCTTGCGGCTCTGTTCTTCTAAGAACTATGTCCAGTAAGTTTTGCTCCTGAATGATTACTCCTAGATTTTATTGACGACACCGTTGGTGAAGTGGTTATCATGCTTGCCTTCCACTTGGGTCCGTGTTGAAGCAAGCGGCTCGGGTTCGATTCCCGAACGGTGTATGACGTTGTTAGATGTCGATTACATTTTCGTCGAAGTGTCTACCACAGATATCTTCGGGTAGGTTGGCATGTCGTTCCCCCCACTTATGCTTATATGAGGATTCGGAAGACGTTTCCTCATGAAGAGTCATTGTCAAATAGCATCACCGGTCGAATAACCGGCTTCGGGACCACGACGTCTAAGTTACAAAAGAGCGTAATACGGCAGCCCTATACTTTCAGGAGGATCAGAGGGTTTCCAGCCGTTGACCGTGACTGGTACCAATCTTATGGCGGGATCTACCGTCTGGTTGCTCCTGTTGGATGGCTACGCGGCTTCCGCACTGGGGCGTACACGTATTGGGTGACGAATAGAGGAGGGCCTTGACATGCTTTGACTGGAAGAAGTATGCTGGAGCGTAGGTAGCCTTGGCTATCAAGATACCTACGTCCTTTGGTCATAAAACGTCAGTCTTGAGGGCCGCATAGAGGGTAATTGGGAATGCCTACACTTGTAACTCAGAGAAAAAAGTCGCTTTGACTGAGCCGTTGGCATGCGCTGTGCCCACCTCTGCTCTGACCTACACCAAGCTCTGCGGGGAATCTTGAGTACAATGCCAACTCGGTAACACATGAATGATCATCATCATGGGGTTCCAGAACAGAGGCTGGAATGGCAGAGGGTCAATGATGTTACAGATACAAAACCACTTCTTAGTTCTAGACTTGTGTCTTCGGCCGCCCTCAGTCTGCGTTACGGATCCCATCCCCATCGCGAAGAACACAGGGTCCTCCATAGATCACGGCGTTCTCCATGCCATTCTCCTTGATGAACTGAACCACTTCTGCGTCTTCGGCACCCGGCTGGAGCCAGACGTAGGGAATGCTCAACTGTTTAACCTGCTTCAATATACCCAGAGTCACCTGACGTCTCAGTCAGATCGACGATCGCTAGAGATATGTGTTAAGAGTTCGACGCACTGAAGGTGGGGTAATGATGCTCAAAGACGTGCCGGTGGGAGAAGGCAGAGTTTCAACCGATCGGATGGTCTTAATTCCTTCCAACTGAGGCTCTTTCTGCGGCAAGAGTAGGTCGAGTCATCGAACAAGCGTAAGCCTGGCGTACTGGATGGACTGGCTGAACCGTCAATTCTCGGTTTAAATACCACTTCAACACCTAGAGAACGAGTGAAAAGTATTCTATCGAAGATCCGGAGGCACGGACCTTGGTTCCGAATTTGCTCTGAACTTTTGAAGCACCTGCTACCGCAAAGTATGGATTAGACAAGAAAGCTTTCTGAAGACGTAGAGCTTGAGATCTGGCGGCCATGGAGGTTTGCGGAGAGAAGCGGGTTCAAGTTGAACCAGCAATCAACTAGAACTGTATGGAGCTCAACTTAGTCCCGAAGATTCTGGCGGCCAGCAGACCAGTAAAGTGGGTGTAGCACTATGATAGTTGATCTCGAGGAGCAATTTTAATGAGAAACGATGAACAGAAACCTCCAATTGCGGGAAACCTAAGACACTGAGGGAAGCCTTGAACCGGCATTTCTCCGGCAGTCGCTTCGTGAGAACCACATACTATAAACAGACGCAGTCATCCAGTTCACCCAGTCGCGGCTCGCCGGAGTTCAATCTACTACCTAGCTTCTCGCTTCCATCGTCCATGCCTCCTATGCTCGTCGACTGTGCTCCATTGATACATACCGACTCTATATCGCGTTCATAGCTACTCCTCAGTATGGAGTTATTTTCATTCTCCTCAAACAACCGCAAATGTTGTACTGCCTCCGTTGTGGGGTACCTGTACCCTGCAACCCCACCGAAACGTGATGGATGACATGCGTGCCAAAAACAGGAATTTTTTTCGATGCATGGTTGAGGTACGTTGTTGCCTCTTTCCCTCTTTAACCTCAGCTCACACGTAACGAAGCACCTTCCCTTTCCTTTGAACGACCATGCAGGGGTTCAATGTTCTACTCGTCACTCTCCTCGCGGACTACATTTACGCGGTCAACGCCTCGATACAAGCACGATCATCTGTCAATGCGACAATTTTGGGCGGTTCCAAGGTAGCAATGGCTTGGTATGCGGGATGGCATGCGACAGATTTCCCTTTGTCGAGTGTTAGCTGGGAGAAGTATACGCATATGACCTATGCTTTCGCGTGAGCATTACTTTTCCGTCTTCACGGCTGAATCCCATTGAATACCTCTTATATAGCGTTACAACGCCCGACCCAGGTCAGCTATCGCTTGTAGACTCGGACGAAGAGCTTTTACCCCAGTTCGTGAAAGCGGCTCATCAACATGCAAGTCCGA